TGGATTTTATGATGTTATGCCTCGTCCTATAGTCTGAATACTTTCTTTTTTTTGTAATTTTTTTCTGTATTGAAAATGATGAGACCCTATTTTCAGGCATCCCAAACATACACTTGAGCCACCTCCACTGGCTCCTCCCAACGTGGAGAAGCAGCGGCTCTACTCCAAGCTCCTCCCGTGTGACTGACCTCCTCATTCTATTGCTAAGGAAGCGCCCAGCCACGGAAGGAAACTCATGCGGCCCAATTTTATTCACAATCTCATCCTTTCGGTGGTTACCCAAAGCTCATGACCATAGGAGTGGGAGGGAACGTATAGATTAAGCTGTAAATAGAGAGAATAAGTCTGATTCTCTGATCTGAAATTTGTAAAATATCTGTAAAAAGAATTTGCTGCTTTGTTATTGTATAGATCGATTTATTTCTGCTTAAGATCCATGTGCATCTAAACTTGTTTTTATTTTTCAGAATAATTTAACTTATTCCCCATGCATTCCCAGAACCTACAGTCACACGCTGAACAAATATACTCATTTAGGATTACGGATTAAATTATCTGAAGACTTAAGACTTTTCAGAACACTTGTCGCAAACAAAATCCCGCTAATTTGTCACTTGTTACACCGAGCTCGATAAGACGCCTCTCTCTCTCTGTCTTTAATTAAAAGGGGAAATACCGGAACAATCTAGAGTGTTTTTTAATAAGCCGAGCAAAAGTTTGATTAAGTACAGTCGATGGTGGCGGGCGCAGTGACCGGGGGGAGTGGGCGGGGGCGCTGTGGCTCAGATTGTCGTTTATCACAGCTGGTGCAGAGCAGGTGGAATCGGAGAGAAAGCAAAAAAAGTTTATAATAATGGACTAAAAATGCAAAAAAACACTGGAAAAACAAGTCACCACCGGGGAATCTTGTTTCGAAAGGGTCTGGCTCGTTGTCGTGGGCGATTCTCGTTGATTACAGACTATTTTAAGACAAGTCACGCTGGTTTTAACAAGTACGAGGCAGATTTTGAGTTAAATTAGTATTGTAGTATTTAAAACGGGCTATTTAAAATGTTCAGTATGTGATATGGACTAAAAATACAACTTTTGCAGCTCACATGTACAGACGTAAACATACAGCTTTATAATTATTGCACTAGAATATACAGTGTTTTATAGCTGCTTCTTTGTTATGCTAAAGTTAGATATTTTATTTTGTTTTAGAATAGAGATATTAATTTATCTTGTGCTGTGTGCTCCTCATCAACTCAAAGTGCTTTACAAAACAAGATAAAAAACAAAAGAAGGTTTTGCAGCCTCCCCAGTGTATTTCTGACTCTGGGGCAGGAGTGAGAAATAAACAGGAGGCCCGAGTCCCTGTGCTCTTCAGAGTCCCAGAGTGAGGCCAGTCCCTGTGGTCCTCAGAGTCCGAGTTGGGTCATTTGGCACTATTCTCCGTTACATCCTCCCCCTCTGTATTGTACAACTTTAACAAGTACTTATACTAACAAGTATCTGCTTTAATTTCAATACATGTGTTTGTTTCTGTTTGTGAATTTGGTTAGTTCTTGTTATAATTGCAATACTTATATACAATTATTATTAAATATTATAATACAAATCGCTCTACTGTATCAACTGCAGGCGCTAATAATCGCAATACTGAACAGAATGGATTTTTTCCCTACCACTAATTAGGACCAATCCTTAACACATACACTGCAAAAAGAGAAGAAAAATAAGACAAAACTGCTCAAAATTGGCAAAATGTATCTTAATTTGACCATTCTGACTGAGCCTCAAAAAAGGATTCACCAATGGGACAAAGACAAATTTTCTTTTTTTTTTAAAGATACAAGAAATGACTCCCTTGGAATGAGAAAATACAGAAATAGTTATATATACGGCTGTGTCCCATTGGAGAATCTTATTTTAACACAGTCATAGTCACTGTGATTGCAATACTAAATGAAACATACATATTTTAAACTCATAATGTAGCACCTCCTATGAAAATCTCTCTTCACTGCAAAAAGTGATGAAAAATAAGTCACGGTTGCTCTTGTGTATTCCTGGTCTGTCGCGTCCCGCTGGTCTCCCGTGTCTCTGTCTGTAAAAACGGCCTCGCCACCTGCTCCTCTCATCTCCCGGCTCCATATTGTGTCTTGTTTTTTTAATATATATTTATTTTTTTCCAGCTCAAGTCGATAAATATTTCATTGTGGAGTCCAAAGGTATAGTCACTGAGGGGCTCCGCATATGTCGCTCCCTCTGCTGCGGAGGTTTAATGGAGGAGAAAGTCCAGGCATTTCACCACCGTGTGTTTTTAGCTTACGAGTGAACAGAATGACACCGAGGCTCTCCACTCCGCAGAATTACAGCTGTCTGGAGGTGTGTGTGAGGTGTGGGCTCTTCAGACTGTTGTGATGTACTACACTTTCATGCAGGGAGTGTAGGCTTTAGGCTTTGCTCCGGCCGTCACAGTCAGAAAACAGTTGTGATGGTACGTATATCCATGACGACCAGGGTTCCCTCTAAGCACTAAGCACTTCCATAACATTGCTGTGGTTTTATTGTTAGCACTTGTTTTTACACTGATGTTTTGGTTGGGCTGACCAGCGCCCCCTTCAGTTCAGCAAAGTTGCATATTGCTGAGAAAAGTACAGTTGATAAGGTGCATGCGTAGTCTACCAGTCTGAAGTTTCATTTCCTTAATTGACCATCTATAAAAGACTGAATATGAAAAAACATCAGGTCTGAATAAAATAAATCCATATTTCAGTGAGTGGGGGACATTACACTGCATGTGAAAGCCAGATCCTGTCAGACCTCTGGAGCTCAGCAGGGCAGGGCCTGGTTAGTACTGTGATGGGAGACCTGTGGGAACAACAGTGGGGCTGATGCGGCTGTAGAGTGCCAAACAATGGTTGTGTCCTTAGGCAAGACACTTCACCCACATTAGAAGGAGTCTGGTGTGTGTGTGAATGGTTGGTGGTGGTGGGAGGGGCCGATGGCATATGTTGGTTGCCTCGCTTCTGTCAGTGTGCCCCAGGGCAGCTGTGGCTCAATGACATGTGAAGCATCTTTAAGTGTCCAAAAAAGCACTATAAAAAAATGCATTGTGATATTACTACTACAACTACTGCTACGAGTACTACTACAGCTACTGCTACTACTACAACTACTGCTACGAGTACTACTACAGCTACCGCTACTACTACAACGACTACTACTATAGCTAGTACTACTACAACTATTACCACTACTACTATTACAACTGCGACTACTACTACTACTACTTCTACAGCCACTATCACTACTACAACTACTACTACTACTAGTGCTACTCTTACTGCTAGTACTTCTACTAACTATACTCATTCTACTACTATAAAAACACAAAGGATCAAGTCTAAGTTTATTCTTTCATGTTGTTGTGTTTGAAATATAAATGTCAGGTCGGGATAAAGTCTTTAAAACATGAGGGCGACCCTACACTACACCGCTAACGTTTAAAAAAGCGTCTTTAGAACTCAAACGTCGTCCATTGTCCGCGTCCGTGCTAACGACAGCCTCTGAATTAGCGTTTAGCTCCAGAACAAACCATTGCTTTTACACGTCCCCCGTCTCCTCGCCGATTCTCTGGGTTATTAAGTGGCAGATTAAGGCCTGGAAATAGCCCACGAGGGTCAAAAAGACTTCAAAATGATATGATTGAGGTGTAATTATATGTGTGAAAGTCAAAAGGGTGAGAGGGAAGTGGTCTTTCTGGGATGTTCCGACATTAACGACGATATATTTTAAGCATTGAACATTTATGAGGTTTTAATCAGGTTATAATGTTGTGGCAGAGTCATTAGTTTGTGTTTGGATGTATTTAAGTGTTAAGGCTGAGGAGACGTTAAAGGGGAAGTAACAAGGGCAGAGTTTTACAGATTTGAAACACACACATATGCAGTGACTGTTTGTACTCACACACAAACATTGACTGTTGGTACACACACATAATGACTGTTGGTACACACACACACACACAGTGACTGTTGGTACACACACAGTGACTGTTTGTACTCACACACAAACATTGACTGTTGGTACACACACATAATGACTGTTGGTACACACACACACACGCAATGACTGTTGCCACACACATACACAATGACTGCTGCTACACGCACACACAGTGACTGTTGGTACACACACACAGTGACTGTTGGTACACACACAGTGACTGTTGCCAGACACACACACACACACACACACACAATGACTGCTGCTACACGCACACACAGTGACTGTTGGTACACACACACAGTGACTGTTGGTACACACACACACACAGTGACTGTTGGTACACACACACACAGTGACTGTTGGTACACACACACACACACGCACACACACAGTGACTGTTGGTACACACACACACACACACACACTATGAATGTTGGCACTCACACACAACTGTTGGTACACACACACACACACACACACTATGAATGTTGGCACTCACACACAACTGTTGGTACACACACACACTATGAATGTTGGCATTCACACACACACACACACACACAATGACTGCTGCTACACGCACACACAGTGACTGTTGGTACACACACACACACACAGTGACTATTGGTATACACACACACACACAATGACTGCTGCTACACGCACACACAGTGACTGTTGGTACACACACACACTATGAATGTTGGCATTCACACACACACACACACACAATGACTGCTGCTACACGCACACACAGTGACTGTTGGTACACACACACACAGTGACTATTGGTACACACACACACACACAATGACTGCTGCTACACGCACACACAGTGACTGTTGGTACACACACACACTATGAATGTTGGCATTCACACACGACTGTTGGTACACACACACACAGTGACTGTTGGTACACACACACACACACAGTGACTGTTGGTACACACACACACTATGAATGTTGGCATTCACACACACACACACACCTTCTCCTCCACT